CCCTGGGTTCCTTACATCTATACAACATCTTTCATCTAGAAAGATTTGAAAATGTTTTAAAGGTCACATATAGAAAATTACTATATTCAGTTCAGTCTCTTATCAAGAGGAACGTAGTAATTTATTAGTACCCAAGCAACAACACAGAACAATTTAGGTTAGCAAGTAAATAAGAAGGTTGTATCTACAGGGAGAATTTAGCACCTTGATGCCATTACCAAGCTCTGGAAATCGTTCTACAGCAACAGGCAATGGAATTTTTAACTGGCAGAAAATCCTGTAGCTTTACATATGACTCATAGCACATCCAAGTCCAGCACCATGCTGGGGCTACGAGGAAGCCTAGGGAAGAGAAGCCTGACACCTCGGGAATCACTTACACCTCCTCCTGCAGCATCCAGGGTTTGTCTTGGAGGTCTTCCATCCAAGCAGAGCCCAGATTAACCATGCAAGGTGATACTGCCACAGACAAAGTTAATTCAATGCCACGAAACAGTCTGTTTCAGTTTAAAAGTATATGAAAACACAATCAAGAAGTCATAAGAATCATTTTCATTCATGTCAAAAATTCCACCATTTTTTCAAGGCCATAATCCCTGTCTCGCCTTTGGCATAAAAGATAATTCTTTCAGAGAGAAGAAATTATTCAACAGTGAAACCACACACCAACCTGAAAATATTTCCCACAAAGTTAACTGTACACCATTACTATGAAAACTACAGCAGTTTTAATCAATTTTATAACTAATTTCCAGTGGCTTTCAAATATATTAATCTTCACTGCAGTTACCTGCTTTTCCATATGTTTGGTGCAAAAGGGTTGGCCAGAAAAAAAAAATTCCTAGGGTCATCTGAACTCCACAACACTGTTATTTTGAACAACACTTGATGAAAAGCACTTGATTGCACAGGCAATATGAGCAAATGTTTTAACAGGGCCCCAATTTGGTTTCTTGGACTCCAGCTCCTTTAAAAAAAAAAAAAAATCCACCCAAATGGCCTTTTGTGCCTCTTTGGCACCCTAATGATTCTCTCCAGAGACACAAAGGTCTCCTTGCTAGCTCAAACCTAATTTCAGATTTGGGGGCCTAAAATTACCTGGTCTAAAACCTCAGTCTCATGCGATGTGTAAATCCTGGACTTAGCACGCATACGAAAATGCGACCCATTTAAACCTTACGGGAAAAAGAAATCCATAAACCCATAAACCTAGTCAGCTACACATTTTTTGTGGTGTTTGACTAGAGGAAAAAAAAAAATCAACAGACCAACTAAACCTCTGTGTATCAGAGCACTGTGAGGAAGGAAGGGAATGCCAAAATTCAAGCTCTGTATTTTGCTCCCAAAATATTCAAGAGGAAAAGAATAGGTCATAGTAATATTGGTACATCTTCTTCCTTCCTATTCCTTCCACACATTCTTTTTTTTTAAGTTTTAGTGCTTTTATCCCACAGAATTTCCGGTGGGGCAAAACACTGTTTTATACTGACTTTACCTATGAAACTGAGTATTTTTTAAGGCTATTACCTGCATTTTTGCATTTAAAGATTTTTGCATTCATTCCTTCAGCATTGCTATTTCGATCCATACACATCTACCTGTGTCATAAATCCAGAACCCTGACTGCAAACCATGTTACATGTGACAGATACAATTCCTCCTAGCACATTTATCTCACCCACCGATTTCCTTATTTAAAAGACCAACTAGTATTCTAAGGTAATCAGAAGTACTTCCGACATTAATTCATTTTTCCTAAAGTCTAGGGAACAGGCATTAGAAATAAAGCAGAACCTTACTGGCAAAACAATTTCACTTAACCTCGCGCTTCCGATTTCAAACATGCAACATTTGTCGCAGCTCATATTCCACATTGCTTTGAACGATACCCCAAATGCAATCGCTGCTTTTGACAGGATTGCAACTTTTATCGCCACTGAAACTTCTCTTGCTGGCAGGATTGGCCAAGAGGTGCGATAATCACAACAAAGGATCCTTCAGCAACATTCTGTCAGCACACAAAGAGTACGAGGGCACTCCTGGGGCTTTGGGAGACCCTCGATGCCCCAAGCGTGCGCATCGCGTCCAGGCTGTGACACTGCGCGAGACGGGTGCACGCGGGAAACGCTTAATCCCCCCTAAGCGTTTCTGACGGGTGCCACAGGGGAGGGAGGGAAAAAAAAGGGGGGGAAATAAAAAAGGGAGGGGGGAAAGCCCTTTTTGGGAAGTCACTGGTGTTTCAGGGCAGCACAATCCACCCCGACCTGCCAGCGGTTCCTAAGCAGCCAGGAGTCACCATCCACCCCAAGAGCCACCATGGGGGAGCGAAACGGCTCTGTGGATGG